TGATCCAGAGTTGCCAGCTCTCTTTTAAAGGTGCAGGAGTCTACCGTACTCTGCACGTCGGGATCGCCCCACTACCGTACTATGCACGTCGGGATGGCCATTTTCTGCCATCGGGAGAAATTAGCATACCCGCCGTAATCACATCGGCATGACCGCCATTTGCACATCGGGATTGCTCTTTCCCGGCATCGGGATCGCGGCGATGGGCACATTCAACCGTCGCATTGCAGTGCAATACATCGCCGCGATCCCGATGAATTTGCCTTCCTCCTCCCTCCTCCCTTCCTCCAATGCATGGGTGTCCTTCTTCTTCTCCATATTTCTTCTCCAGACATCTCCTCCGTTCCTCCATGGGTTTTTCTTTTTCTTTTTCTTTTTCTTTTCCTTTTCTTTTTCTTTTTCTTTTTCCATTCTCCTCCATCTGAGAGTTCTTCGAAAAACTTTAAAGCCCAAAAGTTTTTCATGGTCAATTGAGAAATCCAATGTTCTCAATCTTACAAATGAAAAAAAAAAAAAAAAAAAAAAATCTTACAAATGAATCCAACAAATTATTTGATTACCTACATGCCAGACGTCCGTTAAATATCGCTCGCTCCCTCCCTCCCTCCCTCCCTCCCTCCCTCCCTCCCTCCCTCCCTCGCTCGGTCGCAAAAAGCGAGCAATCATCACCGTGACGGTGACCTCCAAGATAACCAATCGTCGACCATGGGTTATCTTCTCCAAGCTCCAAGATAACCAATCGTCCAGTCCACCATATAGATTTCCAAAACACGACTGTATATCCAAAAAAAAAAAAAAAAAAACGACTGTCAAAAAGTACTCGGCTCTTACTTCCAAAACACGACAGTCACTGTCGAAAAGACAACATGAGTGTCAAAAAAAAAAAAAAAAAAGAATGAACAAGCAATCGCAGTAGCGTACGAACGAACACAAGAGCCACAGTGACTGCAGACAAAACGCGACAAGCCCAGAGGCAATCGAACGGAACCAAACGAAATGAAATGATGAAATGATGAAATGATGAAAACCTTTCTTGGCCTCTTGGCTAACATAGAGTGTAGTATCTGTTCTGATCGGGTGAGTCCCTGATTCATATTTAAAAAAAAAAAAAAAAAAAMATAATAATAATAATAATAATAATAATAATAATATAAAAAGACACGAAAAGACGCATAGATAGTGACAAGCTATTCGCCAGTAGTCAGGGCATATATTACTAGCCCCGACCCCCCAACCCCCGAAGCTAGCCCCGACCCCCCAACCCCCGWAGCTAGCCCCGACCCCCCAAACCCCGAAGCTAGCCCCGACCCCCCAAMCCCCGAAGCTAGCCCCSMCCCCCCAACCCCCGAAGCTCCCTCTCCACCCCACAACACACACGCAAACAAACCCAGCTCAGATCATCTACTCACCGCCGAGTGCTAAGCTGATCCTCGAGAGTACGGTAGCAGCTCCCAGTGCACTTCTTGTTCCACCTCCTTGCAGTCGATCGCCGGCTATCTTACTGAGATGATCTCTCTCTCTCTCTCTCTCTCTCTCTCTCTCTCTCTCTCTCTCTCTCTCACACACACACACACACACACACACACACACACACACACACACGTGACTTTCTCACAGGCACCTACAGACACAGAAGCACGCATGCAACCACACACACACACACCCGCCCGCACACAAGCACGCGCACGCAGGCACGGACACACGCACAGACATACACCACACTCACACACGCACAGGAGTAGACAATGTAGACACTGGAGTTCTCCCTGCTGTGACTGCACCCAGACCGACGGGCATTCGGGTCCTCACTGCACTCAGACCGACGACGAAGGACTATAAACCTTTTGGGGACAGCCCAGCGGGTGCCGGCCAATGCGGCCATTGGCCTTCTCATCTTCCCCCCACGGGTGAGGTCAAGAGCGCGCAGCGAGCAGCGAGCAGCGCGCAGCGAGCACCGCAATGATGGCACAATCACCTCTTCATCCTGTGGAGTCCGCCGCCTCCCGTGGGGGCAAGAGAATCAGCGGTTTTCTCGCAAAGAAAAACAAAAACAAAAAAAAAAGGGAGCCCACGGGATCGGGTCCAATCAGCGGTTTTCTCGCAAAGAAAAACAAAAACAAAGAAAAAAGGGAGCCAACGGGATCGGGTCCATCGTCCTGTCGTGCAGTTGATTTGAACTGTGGGCAGCGGACAACAATCCACTGACTGAGTGATCTGGCCGCATATCCGCTCCTCTTGATCAATGAATCTGGCCTCCTCAGTGGGACAGAATGCACCTGGGGATCTGTCGCTATATGCGGTCCAGTTCATGACTGAATCCGGCTCTGTCGCTGTATGCGGTCCAGTTCATGACTGAATCCGGCCACTCAGCCGCGGACAAGTCCCGCGGAGAACGAATCTGGCCCAGCCAGCCGGAATCTGGCCTTATCAGCCACCGACAATCCACTTCGTGAATGAATCTGGTCACTTTGCGAATGAATGTATTTTGAGAACGAATCTGGCCCTATATCCGATCAACTGCCGGAATGAATCTGGCCCTTATCAGCAGCGCACAACGCCTTCTTCCGCCGAAGAATACAACGCACGGTCATTATAGCTGTATTTGTGGCATCTTTCAGTCTAAATACAGCTATGATGACCTTACGGTTATTAGAGCTGTATTTTGGGTCATCTTTCAGTCCAAATACAGCTATGATGACCTTACGGTTATGGGTCATCTTTCAGTCCAAATACAGCTATTATGACCGTACGTTGTATCTGGGGGAAGAAGGGTAGTTATGAATTGAATCTGGCCTTCTCAAGGGCGCCCAACTCACTTGTGAATGGATCTGGCATCCTCTCCGGTTCACTCCTCGGGGGAATGAATCCGACCTCGGGGGAGCGAACCTGGTCTGAATGTGAATCTGGATCTGATCAGAGGCCAAATTCATTCCCATTATTTACCGGAGGACATTCGTTAGAAAACCCGAATCTGACCTCGGGGGAATGAACCTGGAGTTAATGTGAATGACAGTGAATCTTGCTGGACCTGATCAGAGGCCAGATTCATTCCCATTATACACCGGAGGACATTCGTTAGAAAAGCGGAGGCCTTTTTGGAATTTCTGATTTTTAGGACTATTTGGTACAGGGTACGGCTTTTTGGAATTTCTGGAGTTTTATGACTAACATTTGCTACAGGGGCGAGGCTCGGCCTGGGGAGCGGGTCGAGGCCGGTCGGCCACTGGATGACAAGCTAGGCTACCAGGCGGGCCGCCCGGGTCCCGGGTGGCCACCCCGTGCAAGGACCAGGGAAGGTCCCATCAAAAAAAAAATCTGAAAAACAAACTATGTTATGCAGAAAAATAAACTAAACTATATAGAGGGGACCCCTGCAAGCATAGAAAGGTAGTGAAAGGCGAAAAAAGAATTTGAGAGAAGAACGTAGAATAAAAAAGGATAAAAATAAACTAAACGACTTTCTTTTTTTTTCTACACCAGTACCTTTCCGGCCTGGGAAAATAACGGGCCTCGGGTAGGCGTCCAACCTTTCCAGACGCCGAAACGACATGACGGCCTCCGATCGGATTTATCAAAGGCAGTCGTCGTCGGACCCGACCTCCGAAGATTCAGGAGTTTGGGAAAACTGCCAGTTTTCCCTATTTTCCCACGTGGGAAAGGTACTAGTGCTTTTTTTTTATTGCAGCTTTATTACTTATCAATCCAAAATGAGGCCGGGAATCCCTCTACATCTCAAACAGGTGGAACTGGGGTCATTACCCAGAATAGGCAAAAGGCTGGAAACCGGGGGCTAGGTCCCACTTGCACGGATTAGGAGATTTCGGTCATTGATCTTTGCTATCTACGGTCTCTATCTCTTGATTCGCCGAAGTGGGACCTAGCCCCAGGTCAAGCGTCCCATTGTCTGCAACTTGAAAAAAAGGGGGAGACCTGGACAATCAACATCCAACCAGCAAGAAAGGAACGAACTACCACTACTAATTAAAGAGAAATCTGAGAGCATTACCCAGTGGTCGCTTACAGGGGCAAACAAAACCAACACCCCTGCGACGAGCCTGCTACGGCTGCTCAATCCTGCTTGCCTCTAGTCCATCAATCTCTCCGTTCCTTCGTTCCCCAGTGGCCCTCTCCCCTGTCTCCAATCTATGGTCGATTGGCTGGGCAGACGACTGGAGCCAAATTGTTGCACGGAGTGTCTCCACTGACTAGGGAGTCCACCGAGTTTTAACACCCGTGTATAGCCCCGAACCGATGACAAGTATCCCTTCTTCCAATATGAACCCTCCACCCCGCTGCATTGCCTCTCATTCGACCCATCAGAATGGGAGTGGAAATGGGGAGGATGCCAAACGATGACTCTGTATCAATACACAGAGAAGAAGGCCTACAGAGCAGCGCGCAAACCAATCAGAACTCTCGACCAAATCATCAAGCGTTGGGAGCGAGATTCCCCCCTGAAAGTACAGGACTTCGACCTCTTCCGGTGGTCCGCGTTCTCCCACATCCGACCGACCAGCCATAGAGCCCTTCAGTGGAAAATTATACACAGATGCCTACCTACCCCGGATTGGATTACATCACGCACGGACCTGGAGGAGAAAGAACTGTTGTCCCCACTGTGCTCGTACTGCTCCCACACGCTGCCCAACAGAAGAGCTACTCTAGAACACTGCCTACTGGACTGCCCTATGGTGCTCCAAATATGGAGGTCGTGGGATGCAGCGTGGCACTATCTTACAGATTGCCACCTCCCATAGGAAGTGGCCACTCTCCTGCTAAAGGCCGCCCCAGCAGGGGCTGGGGAGTGGACCCCGTTCATGTCCAACTTATTTGCATACTCCAGACTGACCGTGCTCATGGCAGCCTGGAGGATGCGCTGCTCTTACGAGAGGAAACAACATAATTATGGCTACATGCACGATGTGATAAGCTCAGATCTGTACCTCGCGGCTTGCCGTATCCCTGAGGAAAAATCCCGCGGAAGCCCCGAAGTACGGACACGGACAAAAAGGGGTTTTTCCTTCTTTTTGCTTTTGTTTTCTTTTTGAAACGGCTTTTTCATTTTGTTTGGTTAATAACTCCCGCGCGGGCGAATAGCGGGCGCGGTATGGAAAGCAAGAAACGGTTTCGGTTGGAACCTTTTTTTTGAATTTTTGYGYGCGCRCCTAAGCTCCRACTTCTTCGCGCGTCTCGCACCCCCGTTTCTTGTTTTGCATCCCCRCGCCATCYTCCCTTCTTGCTGCGCGCGTTTTCCCCATGCARGACTCTTCGYCTTCSCCTCCGCCCAGCTCGATCCTTASTYYRCGAAGTGATTGGCCGCGTAGTTGGGATGCTCGGATCAATGTGGAGAGCGRGAAACYGCGCACCACTTGAACGGACACCCCAATCACGCAGGACCATGCCATCCCGCGGGTCGAACCCTCTAACTCCCCACCTCCCTCCTGTCCTGCTCATCTACAACCTGCGTTGGCCGCACCTTGCACTGACAACCCGCCATCTCCCGCGCTATAAATTCGCGCAACCCTCTCCTCTCTCTCTTTTTGATCTCGGCTGCAATGCTGCGCGAGCTATGCGCGAAAGTTCGCGGCGCCGAACAGGCTCGACGAGCCCAAGGACGGGCGGAGTGACGACGTGGGGTGGACCCGCGGTAGTCTCGGGGCGAAGCAGTCGGAGGGACTGAGCAGTGGTGGGGATTGGACGCGAGCCGCGGCAGGGCCTTGTGGCTATGGTGGTCGGTGGTCTTGGGAGGTTTGAAGGCTGCGCCTGGGGGCAGCAGTTAATGGAAATTTTTGTGTACAAGAAGGACTCGCTTTTATCTCCATTGCTGATTTGTTTATGCATATCGTGTGTGTGAAGCCCCGAGTGATGGGAGCTGGTTGTGCGCATGAGTGATGTCAAAGGTCTATGGATGATTGGATGTCCTGTCAAGGGTTGTTGATTGCATGCATGTATGTGTGTATGTACTTGTCCGGGCGGGGAYRGGGAAACTGAACTGGGGGACCGTCTGCTTAGGAGTACGAGTGTGTTGATCCTGTTGTTCCCCTCCCCTCCGCGGCCTTTCCTGCGCTCACTCGCAGTCTYGGCGTAACTCACTCTCTCTMTCTCGATCGCCTTCCTTTTTGAACTGATAGTCCTYGCTTTTGAACTTCTCGTCCSTGTTCCGGTGACGTCAACCGCCTGCGTCCGYGCGGACGGTTGATGCYCCCGCAAGGGGAGAGAGCTTAGATTTYGTCATCTTCCCCCGACGCACCCCCTTTTGAGAGAGAAGAGTTGCGTCGAGTGTTGTATGGAGTCGGTGTTGGTTCGGATGACYGGRAGYGCGGGATCTTGCCCGTGTTCATCGCGCCCCTCCGATCGTCTCCTCTCGCTACCGACCTTCCCCATCGCAGATGACGAYAGCGTCTACTGCGATGCGGACGTACRGCGCRCGCTGAGACGGACGGAGCAAGTGTGCTRGCGGGACCCGCCTCGGGCGTGTGATATAAGGGGGAACGGGTTTGTCTTGATTGATCGCTTTGATTCCCCGACTCTAATACTGCCTTATACGGGTTTGACGGTGTTKCCCTGGTCGGCCGCTCACGCCGCGTGGCGGCCGCAGTTTGATTGTCGCTGGTGTCGCCAGGGGGACTCGTGTTMGTGGCGACGCTTGGTCCTGGGCTACGAGGGAGCGACACGTTTCCCCGATCTTTCCCGTAATGCGGGGGCGCTGCCCGCGCAATTTCGAATTCGGATGCCGGCGAGTCCTCCYGCCGTTTCACCCTCTCAGAAACTTCCGCGCRGACTTTGCGAGCCCGACGCGGAGGCTTGAAGACCTCGAACCAACCACCTCTACARCAAAAACCCGATGGTCCGGTCACTTCGTGAGGCTGATGACGAGGCCGGAAGGCTTCGAACCCACCACCTATCCCCCAAACCCATGACGGCCGGATTTTCTGCCTTCCGATGCCATGGCCCTCTCCCCTTGATGCCTTTTTCCGTCCTGATGCATGACGGCAATTCGTTTTTGCGGAAACCCTTCTGATTTTATCGTTTCAGAGTGATCCGACCCCCACGGGACTTCGCGACGACAGTTCGACTCCGGGGTAACCTCTAGCACGAAACGAGAGCCTCCCGTTCCGTCCGGGAGACTCAACCCCTACGGCCAAAAATCCTCGGCCAGGTCCCTCCTAGAACTCTGATCCGCGACCCAGTACAGGAAGCTGCGAGGGGGCGTGAGGTTGGTATCAGAGCTGATTCGTTTCGGCTCCGAGGTTTTCCTAGGACAAATACCCTGCTTAAGAGTTTTCCTTTTTCTGATCTTTCTTCTTAGATTTTTCTCATTTTTGAGTAGGCTGGCTCCCCGTCGTCGGCGGCCCGCGAATAGCAATCAGAACCGAGCGAGAGGTCGGGTTGGAAACCCGCCTCTCATGATGGTGGAACCCGGAATTGGGGGAGAAAACGACTGTGATAACCACGCGGGGATGGCCAATCATCCCCTGTACTTTGTACCTCCCCCTTCCTAAGTTCCCATTTTCTCCGAAGATGATACCGACCCTCGCACCTGGCTAGCTGCCTTGAAAGCCCAGGGCTGGTCGAACCAGTTGCTCCGAGAACGAATCCCCGGAAGGTTAGCCGGAACCGCCTTTGAGTGGTATGGACATAACCCCTTCACTAATTGGCTAGCCTTCCAGAGGAAATTTCTCGACAGATTTGATCACATCGCACCAGGTCAATGCCTCCGTCTAATAAAGGAATACACGCAGCAGCCTCGGGAGACCTTGGCTAGATATGCTGAACGTTTTACGTACCTAGCCGAATGCTCCGGGGTGGACGAGAAAATGGTACGGACTGATTTCGTCAGAGGATTGTCAGATTCTCGTCTGCGGAAAAAGATCCGCAAGAAATGCAACCCTATAGAACATACCCTGACGGAGCTGATTCAGTACGCAATTAAGTACGGGAAAGAAAATCACGATGTGGGCCTGGACTCAGAATCCGACGAGGATGACCCTTCGGGGCTTCGACGCAATAGCTACTCCGCTACGGCACGAATGTTCGAAGATCGCTTCGGGTTGGGTCCGGCAAAAAAAGGCTTGGATCGGAAAGCTTCTTCCTCTGCTTCGACCTCCCGTCGCTCTAGTCAAGCACAAGGAGGCCGGGGTGAGGAAGAAGTGTTCATGAAAGAGGTCGCGGCCCAATTAGTTACGGTAGTGGCCCCGCTGACGGAGTTTGTTCAGGGCCTGCAGCGGCAACGCCTAGCCGCCGCACAACGGCAACAAGCGGCTATGGCCGCCGGGGCCCCTATGATAAGACCGGCCGTGGCTGGGGCTGTCCCACCCCTACGCTGTTATAACTGTAATCAGCCAGGTCACCTTGTGAAAGATTGTCCAAAACCTCGAACTCAGGGCGGGCCCGCTGGGCCTTCCCAAATCCCGCTGGCTGCCGCTGCAGGACAGGGGAGGGTGGCCACGGTGATGGATATCGAGGCAACGGAAATGGTGACCCCTGCTGCCACCGAGATAGGGCCCGATGAATACATGGCTGCGGCGATGTTCGAACCCGGGACCATCGGAGTGATACGTCACGTCCAACGGATTACCGAGGAAAGTGACCTCGGGCCGTGGCGACCAGGGTTCGAAGACCTTGCGGCACCTGGTCCTGAATACAAGGATGGCCATATCGACGTATTGGATGCCTTGAAGGCTCTGGATCTTCGGATCCCCGTCCCTATTCCCTATCTGCTAACCATTTCCGAAGCGGCTAACGAAAAATTGATCAAACGATGCCTCAAAAACAGGCGCCGATTCGAGGAAAGTCGAAAGGGCAAAAAGTCGGTCCTACGGGATCTCCCCACAAACGAGGAGTCGCAGCCCTCGACCTTAAAGGTGCACGAAGCCGACCGGATAGGAATGATCCGGACCGTAGACTCTGCCTCGGAAAAACCCGAGGTATTCCTCTGAGCCTATCTTATAACCTGGAAAAGCGTTGAGTGTGACTGCGAGGTCTGGGGAAATCCCTCGGCCGCCATCCTAGACTCAGGATCGTCAGCAGTCGCCATTTCTTGGAGATTGACGAAACAGTTGGGAAGGGAAGGACAGGTTCAGCCCCTCCGACCGGATGAACTATATATATCTGCTACGGAAGACAGTATTCATTGTAAAGGGCGAATAACGAACGTGCCTATACAGGTGGGGCGGGTGCATTGTTTGTGCGACGTAATCGTGTTGGATGTACAGGCGTACGATGTTCTGCTAGGCATTCCATGGCAAGCAGCGGTCGGAGCGCGAATGCACTTTGACAGCTGTAAGGTGGTGCTCACATCGGCCCACCCCAAACCCCAAACGATACCAATGAGACTGGCGGTGCACATGCGCACCCAGCTGGCGCCTCGACTCACCACGAAAGCCCATCAAATCAACATGATCCGACGCCTGTCACCAGACGAAAATGAACCCTCGACGAAAACTGACGAGACTAATGTACCCGACCGATATCCGATCCGAGTTCAGCATCGGTGGCGCCATTCTTGGCGGCGAGAACCACTGGAAATAGTTCGGAGCGAGTCCAATTGGTTGCACGCGTTCTCCTCCGTGCAGGGGGAACCCCTGCTGAGGGTGTCCCGAATAGCTGACCTTTCGGAACCCCCTGCATCCTTGTATCTCAAGACGGACCCCCTACCTGAAAGACTTACCGAGCTTAGGGGGCTGTGTGATTTATCTTTTCGACCTCCACGGCCCCTACTCACGAATGAAAAAGCCGCGATACTCCTGAAAGAGGGGGTGTCGTTTCAACCCCGAACAAGGGAATATCGGTGGGAACCGAGGGAACTAACGCAGGCCTTTTCGGTAGAACCCTCGACGGAACCCGAACTGGACAGTGACAGTGACATGGAAAGCGAGTCGGTGAGTCCGGCGGACAGTCAACTTATTGCGACTGTCCTTTCGGCGAAAACCGACAACTCTTTATTTGGGGCCTCGCCCGATGCCAGCGCGGCAGTCCCCACGGTTATGACGACGGTCTCCCTTCCTGGGGGAACCGTAGAAGTTCAGTTACCAGCCCGTGTTCCGGATGAATACAGACGTCTCCTCCTGGCGGTTATACGGGCCTATCCTGAGGCCGTCAGTATTCAGGACCACGACATAGGGCTAACCCCTTTGATACAGCACGCGATTGATACCGGGGATCACGCCCCGATACATTGCCGACCGCACCAATATTCCCTTAAAGAAAGACAGCTGGCGTTGGAAAGGGTACGGGAATTCGAGCGGTTGGGGTGGGTCGAACCATCGCTGGGACCGTGGTCTTCTCCCGTGGTCCTCGTGCCAAAACGAAATGGTTCGGTCCGGGTATGTATCGACTACCGGAAATTGAACGCTATCACTACCAAAGATGTGTATTCCTTGCCGCAAATCGACGATTTGTTAGATGCTATCGGGGCCGCGCGAGTCTTTTCCAAGTTCGATATCCGACACGGTTTTCACCATGTCGCAGTCCGACCGGAGGACCGACCCAAAACCGCTTTTGTCCTATTTGAGGGCACGTGGCAATGGGTCCGGTATCCCATGGGAATTTGTAACGCTCCTGCAACGTTTCAGCGGGCCATGAATATGGCCTTCGCTGAGTTCGTTAACAAAACCCGACTAACCCAGCCACTGATCAATTTCTGCATGATTGTGTACATGGATGATATTTTGGTCTTTTCAAAAACACACGAGTACCACCTGGAACACATTGAGTGGGTTTTGCATGCACTAAAACATGCGGGGTTCAAAGTGGCCTTGGAGAAAAGCGAGTTCTTCTTGTCGGAGATCTCATTCTTGGGGTACATCGTCACGGTCGATGGACTAAAACCGGATCCGAGGAAGGTGGCAGCAGTTCAAGAAGCCCCGGCGCCGGTCACAGGGCTTTTCTAGGGCTGGCATCCTATTACCGGCGCTTCATCAAGGGGTTCGCCGGTATAGCGAAGCCCCTCACGAACCTGCTGAAGAAAGAGGAACAGCTGATCTGGATGCCGGAATGCGAAGCGGCGTTTCAGGCGTTGAAGGAGGCTGTGACATCTGCTCCTGTGTTGGCGCGTCCCGACCCGACAAGACCGTTCGCACTGTACACCGACTGGCAGCCTCAGGCGATATCGGCGGTGCTGACTCAGCACGGGGCGGACGGAAGGGAACACGTCATTGAGTATGCATCCAAGATGTTGGGCCAGGCGCAGACTAATTACGAAGCATGCAAAGGCGAATGCCTGGCGGTGGTGTGGGGGATTCAGCATTTCCGACCGTATCTTTACGGTCGGAAATTTGTGCTGGTAACGGATCATCAGCCGCTGTTGTCCCTACGCAACAACACGGACTACACGGGGACGCTGGGAAGGTGTGCGGTGCGTATGCAGGACTATGACTTCGACATCCGCCACCATGCCACACGGCAGCATGGCAACGTCGATGGATTGACGCGCCTCCTGCCGCCCAACAAGTGTCCCGCCAACGAGCGACTCATTCCATGGAGGCCAGAAGCCGAGACTACGAAACCGCACTACGGGGAGCTACACGTGCTGCGCAAGAACAACGCCTGAGTCCGGAATGGAGGTTTCGTCGGAGATGGAAGACGCTATCTCTTTGACCTCATCCAACTCCCTCGCTCTCTCGTCTAGTCCCTACTCGTCCCCTGAAACACATCTAAGTCCCTGTTTTTTCTGTACCTTGCCTATGGTCCCGGACCAAGAAGGGTCACATCCGGGAGGGCCCAGTTTTCTTTTGTGGGTGCAGTGTAGTCG